CTTACATTTTCTCAGGATTAGAAAGTGAAGCCTTGGTAGTGGGAAGCAAAGGGCTTGGCAAGAAAGGCCAGACCCTCTGGTGTCCGAGCAAGAGGAACTTAGCTGGATTTCCAGAGCCTGTGTCCTCTTGCCAGCACGCCCCCCCCCCCCCGCCCCGCCGCCGCCACCCCCTTCCACAGGAGCTTCATTTTCTCCAGGGCCCAGGGCTTCTTCCTTGCAATCCCACCCAGCTTTCATACACACCAAGATATAGGAATTGTTTTCCTTGTTCAATGAAACCACTATACGGATCCCTATTGTTTCGCAGAACATCTGGTTTGCAAATGAAAAGATCTCAGGGGCACAGCAGCACAGAGTGAGCAATTCTGAAGAAGCTTTTAACAAAACTCGAAATTGCTTAACAAAAAAACCAAAAAAAATCAACTCCCCTTCCTGCTGTTCTGTGACACGCAATTTCTTCACTCAAAGGGGAGATGACATTAAAAGTAAGACTGCTTCATTATGGCTCTCCTGTTTGGGCCTTCAGCTTCAGCTCTCTTCCTAGCTGCTGCTCCCATCCCTAAGAAATGAGAGTTTAATTACAGCAAAATGTAGATGACAAGAAAAATAACCAGGAAACCAGAAGAAAACAAATTTTGGTAGTTAATTTTCCAGTACTTACTTTTGCTTTCAGTACATTTCAAGTTAAGTTAAAAGGAAGAAAGGCACCTATATTTAATATATATTGGCCAGTTCAGCACAACTGTGAAATGAAATTGTCAGGAGAATTCCTTGCCTACTCTAGTGTCTAGATTTAATGCGCCTCCATAGCACAGACTGAAGGGGAATTCAATTAAGAAAACCCATTGGCTCCTTATTGACTTTAGTTAAGAAAATAAACTGAGAGAAAGTGTATTAAAATATGTCTGGACTGCTTAGTATGCTTTCATTTAAGTTTATGGCAATCAGAATGGGAGAATTTAAATTCTTAACAATTAAGCTCTGCTTCTGAGTAGATTGGGTTCTCTGCGTTATTCCACTGTGCATTTTTTAAATGTAAACCTTATTCTCACGTACCCCCAAAATGTAGCCATGTAGAGAATCTGTCCACTGAAGCAAGAGCACCCCAGATCACTGGAGGAAGAAAAAGTATTTAAGGTTGTGAATTTAATTTTGTTCTAGGATTTTCATTTTCATTTATGGCACCCGTTGTGTTTGAGACCACAGACTAATTTATGGATTAGTTTTAAACCCCCAGTCTGTCACACTCAATGAACAATTCTAAGTTGGAGAGAATCCATATGAAAGGATTAGAATGTGCCACAGCGGAGCTTACACATGACTGTTTCAACTGAATATTGTCCAGCTGCCTCTCATGCAGTAATTTATTTTTCATTTTTTGCTAGTTGGTTAAATGGCTGGTGTCTCTGCTCTCACACATCAGAGCTTTTTTCATTTTTCATTTTGTAAATATCTTATGCTACCACATGAAATATATGTGATACTTCATATATTCAAGTCAGGGTCATAGAAACTGTAGGGCTGAGATTGAGAAGTCAATATTTAGTGAAATATACATCTTTCTAACAACAGTACAGGGCTGTGCCTTGGATTTCTTGTAAGATTATACTCATAAAACAGCTACTGGATGACTACTAAGACCCTACACACTTACTGGTTTTGCAAGAATAGTGAATTTTTTGTTGCTGCTGTTAGCCATGTAAAATAAATGTGCAATAAATTTGTCCTCATTGTAATTAAAATTAAAATGGACACAATAGCTCTGCTAGGCCGTTTTAATTTCATAACCTAATACTACCACAAGGCCAATTCAACTTTTTGTGACCTATTTTTCTTGCAGGCATACCTCAAAGATTATTTTTTTAAGGCAGCAGCAAAATGAGGTTTAGAAAAGCCTTTGTTGGAATAATTAGACACTCATTTTTCAAGCTGAGTACAGCATTTATAACTTACATTGAGAATTTCGTTTGCATTTCACCTGTCCACTCAGAATATTCTCAAACAATATGATGACCCCATCATCCGACCCACAGGGTTAGGCTCACACATCTCGCCAGCTTCTGATTAAGGTACCCTCATAATCCTACTTTATGGAGCTGCACTCCCTTCTGAGCCCAGGTGTCTGTGGTTTCGGCATGAAGTCATAATGCAGTTATGGGGTGGATCAGAAGCTGTCGTAGCGCTTGCCTTTGCAGAGTGCAAGGAGTTCTGGAGAATTTTCCTTCATTTTTCCCTGGAAATAACCTCTGTCCAAGTAGCATACCAGATGCTTTCAGAGGAACACAGTGGCTCCCCTAATGTGCACTGTTCTTAGTCAGAACACTGTAGCCCTGTGTCTCCACTGCAGTCTCCCATCCATTGGTGACGTGGATTTGCCTTTCCCAGCTATAGTAACTGTGTCATGTGACTCAAACCTGTGTTTGCTTAACTGTTTTAGAGCGTGTTTTTCCTTCCCAACATCCTTTTTTCCTCTTCTTATGGGTGCAATTGATGGATTACCCATCTCCAGAGTGGAGATGCCAGATGTACTGAACGTGCCTTCATTAATTTTCTGGTACCCACTTAAGAGTTGATGCCCAGCTTCACTTGGTTTAATTTTGTCATGAAGTTGACATGTGATGCAGGAAGACAGTAAATTGGGGTCCTTGGTTAATGAACAGACATTATGTTTAAAGAATCTATCCCTGAGGTTTTATTCCACCATCCTTTTGTTTTATATTAATTATTTACCTGGTGAAAATAAAGCATATTAGAAATGCTACCACAGGGCCGGGGAGATAGCTCAATAGAATAAGTGTTTGCCTGGCAAGCGCAGGGTCCTGAGTTCAATCCCTGGTACCAAAAAAAAAAAAAAAAAAAAAAAATCACAAAAATAAT